ATGCCTTCATTTACAAACATCAATTACTGATAAGTAAGGTTGTCGGAAACAATTATCCTACGTTTGCGATATTGAAACGATGATGAAAAATATGGCATGACTTATCGTTAATGTTAAAATGATACCCATAAGGTATAAGTTACACTTTTTTGGCATCACACTGTACATATCGCAAATAAGCATAAAGTTCCGTGACAAAAGAAGTGTAAAGATTCATAAGTGCACTGTTGTGATGAACTAATTTGTATGTACTAAATCGGGTTGTGACTAAGATTTAAAAACCATCGGAATTCTTTTTTTCTGTATAAATAGGAGTACTATCACTGCACAGAATTGTATATATGCAAATTGGTTAGCAATGTACACTAATAGTGTTACATAATGCGTCATAAAACGCTACTAACAAAGCAGGATGACATTCTTCCTTTTTTTTTATTCTTCAGACTAATATCATTGGAATTTATTATGTGATGACCTTTTTGGAGCTTACCTTAACACATATAATTCGTGTTTTGTAATTCTTGGCAATTATGCGATATTGCTTCTTTCATCTAGTGGTTTAATTGTGCATGTTTGAGATGGAAGTAAACAAAACTTTGCAACTTTGGCGTACATTGCGCAAAATATTTCCAATAAAATACAAGATTTTCCATCAAGCTAATCGTTTCCTAGCAAGCTCATGTCACATGTACAACAGTATATCGAACAATAGCGCAGATCGTGTCACTTATGATTGTGGACCATGATAGAGACAAGTATTTCTTGATTCAAGAAACAGGACGAATTATGATTTTTTGATCTTTACGTAACACTAAGTAGAGATCGGCCAAAGTATCGTTCATATTCAAAGCAGTACCCGTCTCCGATAGGTATAATCGAAAATCAGTTGGTGGTCCAGGCTGTTGGCTCATTGCAAGTAGCATAACAATCGTTTCATAACAAGTTGTTCGTGGAGAGATAAAGAACGACTTGTAGGTGTTCTATTTAACGAACATTTTATTTATTGCATGTTATTTATTAATTTATTAATTGACTAATCAGGACCAATTAACTTAACTCCATCATTTCTAAGTGACAATTCTCCTATGCATATATATATATATATATATATATTCTATATGTATATGTTCTATATATATTCTATAATATATAGAAAGTTGTTCTTTTTATGGAATCGATTTAAATGTAAAAATAGAAAATCAAGAAGAAAAGAATTTCAATAAGGAATATTGATAAAATAAGGGATGATATCATTACCTTTGGAGAGAGTAAATAGTCATATATTCGTATAAGGACACCATTTGTAGACATTGTTATCAAGAATCGTGACATGTGCATAGGATGGCAACGTTGCAATTCGAGTGGTCGTGCTTCCTGAGGCAACAATAGTGGCGTTTTCACCTGAATCTTAGGATTATTCTACTAACAGTTCAAGATTTAAATAAATAATGGATTCGAAGTTTTTGCCGAGCCAATGTACGATCCAGAATGATAGCCATAAAAAAAAGTCCCCTACAAATAAAATTCTAAACTGGTTTCAAATATAAGGCCATATAACATATTCTCCATGACGACAGTAGCTTCTAAATGTTTTTTTATCCCTTGTTCTTCATGCTAATGTCTTCTGATATGTGGCTGAGCCAAGAAAATGTTACAAGTTGTTTTAATTAGGATTCAAAATATTTCTCAGATAAATGATTTGTTACACAAAATTATTTCGATACCTAAAGTGATGAATCATTTATGCAAATCCAGTTCTTCAGACAAAGCTCTTTGTTGTAAACTTTTTCCAATCTGTCAATTAAGCTTACATGCAATTGTCACAGTGTTGTAAAGAACTTATGTGCAAATCTCAGAATCTTGTAAAGAACCTCTAGTCTGGTAATTAAACTAACGTGTCTGGAATGCTAAACTAATCCAACTATAAAATGAATTAGGATCAATCATTCAGACGAACAATTTACAAAATCCAAAAAGCTCGAGCAGTCACTCAATCCGACAGCAACGTTTAACGGCAGAGAAGCGACAATGCGACAGTTTAACAGTACAAGCGATAAGACCGTTTGGTATTCTTTAATACTTACTATGTATTGTTCATTTCGCCCCTATTACTGTTTCAGTTCGATATTGTATCATATCGTATAATACCAATAAAGGTTATTATCAATGCTGCGAAGTTAAAACAACAAAAAGTAACTAACAGAATACTTCCT